GTTGCATGTGCATAATGAGATATCTTGGGTGTGAGACCTAAGAGTAAACACAAAATTCATTTGTTTCACATGTGTCTTATACACATAGCCTGAACCTTTTATACACTATTTTTAGTGTGCCTGTATTTTGACTGCAGCCCATCACAAGGTCAGAGTGGAATTTTCCACTTGTTGTGTCAAGTCAACATTCAAAAAGTTGAATGGATTTTGGAAAGGTTCAAATTTTGGATTTTCAGATTAGTGATGCTTAACCTATGTAATTTTTAAAAATCACTATCAGGCCACATATACTATTTGTGATTTATTTGCACTAATATAGATGAATGCTTTCCTTTTCAACAAATCATCTGAAAATGTGATTTTTTAAATGATTACAAAAATACTATTATTGAGATATGACAGTTATTCCCCAGGTTTTAAGGTCATTTATTTTCCCATTTTTGCTATTATAAATGATATTTTTTTAGAGAGAGAGAGAGAATTTTTAATATTTATTTTTTTTAGTTCTCGGCGGACACAACATTTTTGTTTGTATGTGGTGCTGAGGATCGAACCTGGGCCGCAAGCATGCCAGGCGAGCGCGCTACCGCTTGAGCCACATCCCCAGCCCAATATAAATGATATTTTTGACATATTTGTAAATATATTTTTTCTAAATTTCTATTTGGGGAAAGGAATAGATTTCCTAGAATATAAATTAATGGAGTCCAAAGGTATGGACCTTCGTTGGTGCGGGGGAGGGGTGTCACTTGGGATTGGGCGCATGGGACTCTACCATTGAGCTGCATCCCAGCCCTTTTTATTTTTTATTTTGAGACAAGGTCTCATTAAGTTGCTGGGGCTGGTCTTGAACTTGTAATCATTGTGCCTCAGTCTCCCAAGTGGGTTGGATTATAAGAGTGTGACACCGAACCCTGCTAAGAATGAACCTTTTTAATGCTTTTGGTATGCATATACTACTAATTGCTTTTCAAAAGGATTATATCAATTTATACTCATATCAGAAATGGATAAAAGCATTTCTTGCTATGTTTTTATCCACACTGCTTTAAAATAATAATAAAACAATATTATAAATTAGAAGATAAAGAATTTTTAAAAAATCATTAGTAATAAAAATACGTTTTTTTTCTATTTTGTAAATGATTTGTAAAGTAAAAAGCCCAGTTTACTTGCCACTGATAATAAAAAAGACAAAGGCTTCTGAGAATATCTAGAACCTTGTTACATAGTCATAAATCTGAAAGGCTGAGAAACATACTAATTTTGCCCTATGGTAAGGGCACAAAACCAAGCAAATCCCTAACTTGCCAGTAAACTAATGGTTAGATTATCAAATGTGACATAGCTTTTTAAAAAGGTATGTTATTACTCATTGAGGGAAATACATTTCAGCAGAATTTTTACAAGCTGAAAAGAAATTCTAATTAAAAAACAATTATCTAACAGCTTTTCCTAACAGTGAACATTGTATTTGGCACACAGAAGATACTGACTAAATGTTTGTTGAATGGGTGAATGAATAAAGGGGGGAAAGTCAATGTGCAATTTGAAGACATGCAGTTTGAAGAGAAAATAGTTTGCTCAGTGTAACTGGCTTACTGTGTCTAGGAGAGAACTTATGATTGAGGTTTAGAGCTTTTATTGCAAGCTCTGAGCAATTTGGTTAGATCTACTAGTTTGTTAATTATTTTAAATGAGGATACTGCCCACACAACAAGGATACAATGAAACTAAGTAATACTACATAGTATTCTATAATTCTTAGATGAATGATAGATTTGTAACAAATTATCAACATGTGCTTTTTATTTATTGAACTGTAATAGTTGAGTGTGTCTATACAGGCTCCTGCACATTTCAACTCTACTGTCAGCCCAGCAGACATAGACACCATACATTTTTTTGAGTTTTCCAAATTTGGTAAATCATGAACTTCTGAATTTAATGTTAGCTATGAAAAATAAGGAAAGGCTTCGGGTGGTGTCATATCCTGTAATCCCAGAGATTCCAGAGGCTGAGGCAGTAGGATCTCAAATTCGAGGTCAGCCTCAGCAATTTACCAAGACCCTGTCTCAAAATTAAAAATAAAAGGTTGGGGATGTAGCTCAGTGATAAAGTGCACCTGAATTCAATTCCCACTTCAAAAAAGGCAGAGAAGGAAGTTAAAAAATTTTATAATTCAAAAAATCTGGATTTAATGAAGGATGAGGAACAACCTAATAATAGATAAATAATAGGCTTTTCTTCAGGAAGCCATTAGTTCAGTAGCTTATTAGTATTGGAAATCTTAAATCATTATCTTCAGGATTAATTCCCTATTCTACCAGCAAAGCAATGAAAAATATCCCATTATCTCATTAATGGTATGAAACTAGTGGAAATTCACAAAAGAAAACAAATTTTATACCGTTTTTTTTTTGGGGGGGGGAGTGGTAACAGGAATGAGCCCAGGGGCACTTAACCACTGAGCCACTTCCCGAGATATATGTATATATATATATATATGTATGTATATGTATGTGTGTGTATTTAAACTTTGTTTTTTAGTTGTAGATGGATTCAGTACCTTTATTTATTTACTTTTATGTGGTGCTGAGGATTAAACCCACCCAGTGCCTCACCCATGCCAGGCAAGCATGCTACCACTGAGCCACAACCCCAGCCCCCTATATATTTTTTTATTTAGAGACAGGGTATCGCTTGCTTAGGATCTTGCTAGGTTGCTGAGGCTGGCTTTGAACCCGCAATCCTCCTCCCTCAGCTTCTCGAGCCTTGGATTATAGGCATGCATCATCATGCCCAGTAAATTTCATAGATTTTTAAGACCATAAAACAACAACAAAAAAGGCAAACCCCAAAATCCCTTTAACAAATAGTACATGAAAAAAAAATCTTAATATTCTTAATGCATGAAGAATTCATGAAGTCAATAAATGAAAACATTCAACACATAGAAAAACACCATTAGAAAAATAGCTAATACATATTTAAAGTTTTGATCATCCTGATAATCAAATAAAAATGTGAATAAAATATTTCTGTCCCAGGAGATAGGTAAAAGTTTTCTTAAATGAAAATTTCTATGCTGTTATGGTTATGGTGAGATGAACCTTATTTCAGTTTTGATTTTTTGTGTGTGTGTGTGTGTGTGTGTGTGTGTGGTACTGTGGCTTGAACCCAGGGCCTTCCACTTGCTAGACTAGTACTTTACCACTGTCCTATATCCCCAGCCCCAAATTAACATATTTATATGTTGCCTTGGGGAATATGAATTGATGCAGCCTTTCAAAAAGGTATTTGACTAAATGTACTGTGGCCCTTAGGAGTGTTTATATTCTTTGACTCAGTACTTACCTTTCAAGCAGTCTATCCTGGGAATATTGATGTTTGGATAAATAATTATAAACAAAAAGCTCATCTCTGTGTTATGTGTAATATATAAATACAGAGAGCAGTCTACACATCTGTTATTGGGGAAATAAGGTAAATAAGTTATGATTCATTTCAATCAATATAATATTATATTGATATTAAAATAGTTTCAAATGATATGCAGGTTGAGTATACCTAATGTAAAAATTCAAAATCTGAAACTTCCTGAATGGCAACTTGACATAGCAAGTGGAAAGTTCCACTGTGACCTCACGTGATGGAATGCAGTCAAAATACAGGTGCACTGCCTGCATGTGGTGACACATGCCTCTAATCTCACCTATCCAGTGCCTGAGGCAGGAAGATTGCAAGTTTGAGGCCAGCCTTAACAATTTAGTGAAACCCTGTCTCAAAATAAAAAGTAAAAGAGGGTGTGGATATAGCTCAGTGCCTAGTACCTCAAGACAAAAAAAATAGGTGCACTAAAAATATTGTATAAAATTACTTTCAGGATATGTGTTTACAGTGTATATGAAACAAATGTATTTCATTTTTATACTCAGGTCTCATCCCCAATACATATCATTATGTATATGCAAATAATTCAAAATTTTAAAAATGATTGAAACAATTCTGGTCCCCATTTTGTTTTAAATGTTTTAAATAAGGGATATTCAACTTGTGCTTAGAAAAATGTTCAGTATATAATATTCAGTGTAAACAAGATACTAACACACATATATGTATACATAGGCTGATTGCCAATTCTGTAAAAAATATATGCATCTAGAAAAAAGTTACAAAATTTTATAGGCTAGCTGTTGCTGGATAGTGGAACTATAGGACCTTTTAAACATATTTACTCTTTTTTTATTCCAGCATCCCTACAGTGATCCTGTGTAACATTAATATATAAAAGTTATTTAAATATAACAACCACTTCTTAAACTTCTTCCTGTGTACTTTGTTGGTGATTTTCTCTGCCACGACCTGGCTGTCCTCGTCCTTTAATTTAGTAATAATAGCTGTCATATATTAAGCACTTTTGATGTGTGCTAAATTCTCTGTATACATTCTCATATACTGCTCACAATAACTCCATTTTAAAGATGAGGACGTAGGCTTGGAAAGGTTGTGATTTACTTAAGATCAAAGAGCTAGCAGATGATGACAGAGCAAGAATTTGTACTCATTCTGACTCCAAGGCTTAGTCATACCCACTGTGTTATATATTTTGTTTTGGAAGAAGGTTCTACTTCATTCCTAATTTAAATATATTTTTGTTTTAAAATGTTTTATTATAAAGTTTTTCAGACAACTATAAAAGAAAATAGTATACTGAATCCTTTGTACACATCACCCAGCTTCAATTATTCACATATGGCATCATGCTTTATCTATATTTCTAACCTATTCCCTAACTCCTTTCTTATTATTTTGAGGCAAATCCCAGACATATTTTACTCATAAATATTTTAGTATATTTTCTTAAAATGTAAATGCTTTTTAAAAATAATCACACTATTACCTAAAAATACATTCCTCATAAATGTTTCCTATTAATAACTTCAAAGTGTGTGGACTGTAGTCCCTGTCATGATTTCTTTTATGTTATGTTTTTAAAGGTGGAACCTAACTTCGTGTGGAACAAGTGTTGCCAGCTCAGAATGCAGTGAGGAGCTATTTTCATCAGTTTCTGTTGGAGATCAAGATGATTGCTATTCCCTGTTAGATGATCAAGACTTCACTTCTTTTGATTTGTTCCCTGAGGGGAGTGTCTGCAGTGATGTGTCTTCTTCTATTAGTACTTACTGGGATTGGTCTGATAGTGAATTTGAATGGCAGGTAGGTATTTGGTCATCTCCCTGCCCCTTTACTGGGGATTGAACCCAGGGGAACTTAGCCACTGAGCCACATCCCCAGCACTTTTGGTTTTTAATATTTTATTTTGAGACAGGGTCTTTCTTAAGTTGCTGGCTTTGTACTTGCATTCCCCCTATCTCAGCCTCCTGAACCACTGGAATTACAGGTGTGTGCCACCATGCCCAGCTTTGTTTTTTCTTTAATTGACATTATTACTATATAAATACAAGTATAATTTTTCCTTTTTCTTTTTTTTTTCATTTCTACCTCAAAGTAAGTTTTTCTACAATCTCCAGATCTGGGGATTCTTTGACAACACATTTTAATGTTGAGAATTCAATGAAATATGTATTTTTTATTTTTGCAAATATATCCTTTAGCCTTATGATGCTATAGATAATCCTTTTGTAGGTTTTTTAAAAATTTTATAGTTATAGATGGACAGAATGCCTTTATTTTATTTGTTTGTTTTTATGTGGTGCTGAGGATCAAACCCAGTGCCTCACGGATGCTAGGCAAGCACTCTGTCACTAAGCTACAGCCCCAGCCCCTTTTGTAGGTTTTTGTTTACAAAATAATCAGTACTTTTCTATGCATGAATCCAGGCACATTTATTCTCCCTGCTTTGTAATAGATAGCCTTATGTCCTCATAGGACACACATCAGTGTCACCTTATGTATCTAATGCCATAAACCATTATTACCATAAATACATAATTTTTGGTTTTGTTATCAGAAATGGAATATAATTTCTCATTTTGTATTCTCTTTGTAGACATTTTTTTTCACCTGACACTTTTCTCATGGCATGTATACCATACAAAATGCTTTTGTGGCAAATTGTTTGAAAATGCTGCCTTATAATGAGTACAGTCTATCAGAAAATATAGATGACGTTTTCCCTACATCCTTTTTTCTGATTATAAAAGGCAATAACATTCCAAGAGCTCTTCTTGCGTATAGCAAATGTTTTATTCCACAAATAAGCTTGAATGCTTACTACATTTGAAAACTGAATACTTGAAATGGTATTCCAAAACAGGAATCAGATATTTTATTTCAGAAAATTCTTAAAATATCAAATAATACAGAATGACATGAAGTAAAAAGTCTCAAAGTCTCACTCCACAATAGTCACCATTATTAAGACTTTATATGATAACTCTTTAACATTTTGAGGAACTGCCAACAATGTTTTCCAGAGTAGCTGCCTCATTTTACATTTCCACCAGCAGTGTATGAAAGTTTCACTTTCTCCACATTCTTGCCTACACTTGATATTCTTTCTTTTGATTATAGTGTCTTACTGGGTGTGAAGTGCTTATGTTCTTGTGATTTTTGTTTATATTTTTCTAGTGACTAATTGTGTTGAACAACTTCTCCTGTGCTTATTGGCTGTTTGTACATCATCTTTGATGTTGTTCTATTTAAGTCCTTTACCTGTTTTTTAAATTGTGTTATCTTTTAGTCCTAAGCGTTCTTTTGCTACTAAACTTTTATCAGGTGTATAATTTAGAAATTTTTGTCCTGTTTTGTGGGTTTTCTTTTCACTTGATAGTTTCTATTCACTTCATAGTATCTTATGTAAACATTTTGAATTTTGAAGTCTAATTTATTTGTAGACTAATCCAGTATCATTAAGATTTTCACCTGTTTTCCTCTGAGTTTTAGAGTTTTAGTTCTTATACTAAGTTGGTCTTTGATCCATCTTGAATTACTTTTTCTTTCCAGTATGAAATAAGGGTCCAAATTCATTACTTTGCATGTGCATTTCCAGTTGTTCCAGCACTATTTGTTGAAAAGACTATTTTTTCCTCATTAAACAGTCTTGGCACCCTGTCCAAAATAGGGTTATCTTTGGACTCGCAATTATTTTCCATTAATATGTGTGTCTGTCCTTATGCCAGTACAGCATTGTTTAAATTACAGTTTTGTAGTAAGCTTTCAAAATGGAAAGTGGGAGTTTTCTCACTTTATTTTTCTTTATAAAGATTGGTTTGCTTTTGGAGGTCCCTCTCAATTCTATATGAATTTTAGGACGAGGTTATCCATTTCTACAAAGGGCAGTTGGAATTGAGAGAGATTGCATTGAGTCCATACATCAGTTTGGGGAGTATTGACATCTTAACAGTATTAAATATTCCAATCCAAGAAATGAGATGGAATGTCTTTATTTACATCTCCTTTAATTTCTTTCAGTGATGTTTTAGAGTTGTCAGTGCCCAACTCTTATACTTCCTTGGTTGAATGTATTCCTAAATACTTTATTCTTTGTGCCATTATTATAAATGGTACCATTTTCTTAATTTCATTTTTAGATTGTTCATTGCAAGTGTATATATGTTTAAAGATGTCTAATTAATTTCTGTATGCTGATTTTGTATCCTGCAACATTGCTGAACTTGTTTGTTAGCATTAATAGTTTTTTCCCTGTATAGATTCTCCAGGTTTTTCTACATTTAACATCGTGTCATCTGTGAATAGAGATAGTTTTTCCTTCCTTTTTTTTCCAATCTGGATATCTTTTATTTCTTGTTTAATTGCCCTGGCTGGATCATACAGTGTTGAATAGAATTGATGAGAGTGGGAGGATCTTGTGTTTTTTTCTCATCTCAGGGGAGAAATTTATTTATTTTTTGCCATAAGCACCCTATATCATACTGAGGAATTTATCTTTTGTTCCAATTGGTACAATTTTTTTTTCATGAAGGAGTATAGAATTTCATCAAATGTTATTTCTACATCAGTTTAGATGATATATGTTCCTTCTTCATTCTATTAATAGAATTGATTGGAATTCTATTAATAGAATTGGTAGTGTTACATTGGTTGATTTTCATGTTTAACTACCCTTACTTTCCTGGAATAAATCCTAATTGGTTATGGTGTATAGTCCTTATTTTTTTTTTTTTAGAGAGAGAGAGAGAGATAATTTTTTAATATTTATTTTTTAGTTTCGGTGGACACAACATCTTTTTTTTATTTTTGTGTGGTGCTGAGGATGGAACCCAGCGTCCCGAGCATGCCAGGCGAGCGCACTACCACTTGAGCCACATCCCCAATCCGGTGTATAGTCCTTTTAATGTGCTTCTGGATAGTTTTTTTTTTTTTTTTTTAGTTGTTGATAGACATATACCTTTGTTTTATTTATTTATTTTTGTGTGGTGCTGAGAATCAAACCCAGTGCCTCATATGTGCTAGGCAGGCTCTCTACTACTGAGCCTTAACTCCAGCCCCTGGACACAGTTGTATAGTATTTTTTCAAAGGAATTTTGCATGTGTACTCATAAGGGATATTGGTCTCTGGTTTTCTTTTATCTTTGTTTTTCTTTGGTATCAGGTAACACTGGCCTCATAGAAGGAGTTAGGAAATGTTCTTTCTTCTTGATAAAATTTTGTAATATTTTCTTATTTAACATATGAAGTTTTCCATGTTCTTCATAATACGTTTTGTAATGACTACATGATATTCCTGCTGTTAGATGTGCCAGAACTTGTGAAAATGTTTTGTTTACTTCCGTTTCAATTTTTTTTTGTTACAGATAACACCACAGTGATAATTTTTATGTGTGTCTTTTTTATTCTTTAGAATCTCATTTTTAAGTGTGTAAATTGTATTTAAAAATCATACTTCAAAGATTCTTAATAAAGTATAATCAGATAGAGCCCTGATGATTATGGGAAATATATTTTCTGCTTAGTTCATATGATTTATTTAGAATTCTTATCATCTATAATGTCACAATGTGGCAGGCTTTTAAAATTTTTAATTGCTGGCTTCTTAACTCATTTCATGAGTGATTAGAGTGGAAATCCATCCACAACTACTCACAGTTAATGTACATTAGTGGCTACAATGTTGGAACAAAATCAGGTCTGCTTTAGTAATGTGTTTTCCCACTTCTGAAATTGGAGTATGGGTACTCTGTTACCATGGATATTTACTATTTAAATATGCTGAAAGGTTTAAAATGCTGTCTTATTTTTGTGGGGCCTCATAATGATGAGCATTAAATTGTCCAAGAGGATAATTACAAATTATATGTTAGGAATAATATAAAGTAAAAATCATTTACTATAGTTTAAAAATTCATATTACCTCTGTTGTGATTAAAAAGCATATGTGTTTAAATCTTTCTTTTAACATTAGATATTTCAGTTGCTACTAAAATAAAAATAAATAAAAAATAAATGATTCATAGATTCTCTAGGAAGAGAAGTGCTAACTTCTTGATAAAGCAAGATTTGAACCTTAGAATAAAGCAGATCTTAGCATTTGAGGTAGCATCATTGCATTTTGCTTACTGATCATTTGCATTGCTTGCAGTCCTTTCATTATTGAAGATATATTTGACTAGTCTTAGAGCTTGAGAAATTATTTCTATTGTTGGGCAGGAGAGCTTAGAAAATTTACGGAGTAATTCAGCTGTCACAATTGAAACCTAGAGGTGCAATCTGAAATTACACATCAGCTGTTACAGAAATGAGCTTACTCATAAAATTCTGCTGCATCCTGCAGAAAATATGGCAGAGCTTTGATTTAATTCTCTTTATGTGTCACAATTACTGATTATAATATAAATATACCAGATATTATCCCTGAAAAATATAGAATCGGACTCATTAAACATTTTTATTCTGAAATATATTATCAGTTATGAAATGGAACATTGCTGGTCTAATAAATATACAGAAGCCCATGCAATTAATTCTGCTGTACAACTGCTTCTCTAATCCCATATGTCCAATTGAGCACATGACATTTCCACTTGGATGACCTTATTATTTAATACTAACCTGTTATCTGATGCTGAATCCTTGGTCAGTGATGCCACTTCCAAGTATAGTGTTTCCATAGGAAAAAATAAATTCTGCTTTGTGATATGTCTTTATAGCATAGTGAAAAATGTCTATTGTCTGTTCAAAGGACATTTGTGTTTTTCCCATTATCACCACAGACTCTCAATATCCCAAATCGTGTTCTCTCATTCCAAATTGCATCCAAGGCAAGGCTGTCTGGCACAGTTGGAAGCACTGGACTTGTGTCAACTTCGAATTCTGCCACTAGTTGTATGCCTCTCTCTGGATGTCATTTTTCCTTATTTTTAAGAGGGTGTTGGACTACAAGATCTGTAAGATTGCTTCAGGTCTCTTCCTGTAACTATTCAAGTCTTTGAGAATATCACCATGGGTGTTCATATGACCTTGAAATATTACCAGTTTTCTTCTAGTCTCAACATCTGACTCCTTATTCTTGCATCAGTTATCAAACAGCTTTGTAAATTGTTTTTCATTAAAAAAAATGTTTCCTATTTATTCCCTTTTTTCTTTCTATTTTTGCTTTAGTTCAGGCCTTAATCATAACAAGAGCATCCTAATTCCAAACTTTTCTCACTGTTTTGTCCCCATAGTACTTTTTAACTAATTTTCCCTGGTGACTGCTTTCATCACATGATGCTATGGGCCAACTTCTATATGTCATTGGACATCTTCTGGTTCTTCTTTTGAGCTTTCAAATCCCTAACATTGATTTTGTTTTAATTGTATTGTTTTTCAACTTGCTTTTTTATATTTTCATCTGTGATTTCACTAAGTTATTCTCTTTACCTGAAATGCCATTTCCTTTTCCCCTTCTGTCATTCTGAAATACCTCCTTGTGAAACTCAACCTAGTCACTTTAGCAACATATAGTATTCCCTGAATATTTATGCTATCTTAAACCATGGCCAGAGATGGAAGAAGTTTTTAAAAATACATCTCTTTTTTGAATATCATCTATGTGTCAGGCATGTTATCTAATTTAAAGCTCTGTCAATAATCCTTTGAAATCAGTGGCATTAACCACATTTCATATAGTCTGGCGCCTAGGAGATATTCTCTGAAAACTTAGACTAAAGAAAATTTCTTGATTTTGAAAGTATAGGTATTTTAAAATATTTTTTTTAGTTGTAGATGATCAGAGTATCTTTATTTTATTTATTTATTTTTATGTGGTGCTGAGGATCAAATCCAGTGCCTCATACATGCTAGGCAAGCACTCTACCACTGAGCCACAACCTCAGCCCAAGTATACCTATTTTGAGTGTTTCTTTTTTCTACCTTCTTTGTTGAAGGAACTTGAAATACAGGAGACCTTTCATTTGATAAGGAGAGTCTCATTGTGTTTGGAGACTCTAGGGACATCTCGAATGTAATGTTGTGATTTGAAGTTTTGAAATCAATGAAAAAATAGCAGAGCTTTTTTATTTTTGCCAATAAAGCTTGGAAAAGAGATGACCTTCGTGTGTGTATTCAGCAATCATCCTTTTATAGCACTGGCTTGATAACATTAGGGATAAGGGCGAACGATTCAAGCAGTGTTAATGAGATTTTTACAAGTCCTACAAATTGTTAGAAGTTACTTATACACTAGTATTGGATTCATCAATGACTGTCATAGTGAAATTATGGTTTGTAGGATTAGTAGTTGCTTATGGAGATGTAGAAAAAATGGTCCCTAACAGTTTCATTCTAAATATCATAATTATAGTGATTGATCCCATTTTTGTGGCCTTCCCCAATCTCTTCTATATAATTGACTTCCCAATTCCCACCTTTAAAACCCTCACAGGTCTCCCAAACTTCAATCCTGGAGTTTCAACTCACTGCTAAGTATTTCTATGAATGACCTATAATCTCAGGCCTAGCATTCATCCTGTACTCTGTTATATTTGGGTGTTATTATCTTCCCAACTGGAGTATAACATTTTTGTGTAAGGACCAAAACTTACACTCCTTTGAATCTCCTGTGCTTGTTATATTGTGTGTATAATAGGAGTTCAAATACATGATTGTGATAGTTTGAAGAAGCTCTTCTCTTGGTAACTTCAAAAATCTGGAAAGCACTCAGTTCAGGTTTAGTTGCAAACACTATAGAACAACAAAAAGGTGCTGTTTTGTACCTTGAAAACATGAAAACAATATCTTTGAAAATTGTTACATGCTACTTCAGCAGAAAATGATTCCTCTTTTTAAAAAAATATTTATGTTTTAGTTATAGTTGGACACAATATCTTATTTATTATGTGGTGCTGAGGATCAAACCCAGGGCCTTGCACGTGCTAGGCAAGCACTCTACCATTGAGCCACAACCCCAGCCCCTGCTTTCTCTTTTTGACATATATGTTAAATACGTTTATTTAAATCTATTCTCACTTTTAGAGGTGAGGGATATGCTTATCACTTTTGATTGTGGTGATGGTTTCTTGGGTATGTGTATGTTTTCAAATGCATTGAATTGTATACATTTAATATGTACAGTTTTGGTTTTAAGTGTACATTAATAAAGCTATAAAGATTAAATCCCCTCTCTTTTTTAACAGGCAGTATAAAATTATGGCATGTATTTTTGCTGTTTGTCTCACCTTAAGCTGTTTTGATTTGCTGTGTGTTAGGCTTGCTTTTACTTCTCTTTTGTCTATACTTTGTTTTCTATTTTTCTATTTTCTTTAGTACTTCTGGTCTTTAAAATTTCTTGCTTTAGGGCAATACATATTTTGAATTTTTAAAATTTTCTTGAGATTGTTAACATGGACTTAAGGACAAGAACCATGGTTTATTTGTCTTTTTGTTGGCAATATGACTAGAAACGTCTGGCAAAAAGCCAATGAGTGACAGCTCACTCAGATCTCCCAATATTCAGACCAGTACTACTTATTTATTGCTGTTTGGGCCCTAGTAACAATGGCACTCTAAATTAAAAATCTTTAATGATTTGGGGGGATACCAGGGATTGAACCCAGGGACATTTAACCACTGAACCACATCCCCAGCTGTTTTTAATTTTTTATTTTGAGACAGGATCTCACTGAGTTGCTTCAGGCCTTGCCAAGTTGCTGAGGCTTACTTTGAACTTTAGATCCTCCTGCCTCAGCCTCCCGAGTCACTGGGATTACAGATGTACATCACTGCGCCCGGCTCCTTAATGATGATTGTCTCTTAAGTTAGCACTTTAACAAGTTTTGATTATGATTTTAAACTTTCAGAAAACATATTTTATTGAATAAGTGAATATATATATATATATATATATATATATATATGTAAAAAGAATATTGATTATGCTGCCATGTATAAATTAGGTGTACATCTGAATTTATGTTCTGTGATTGGTATATTTACCATTAGTTTTATGTTAAAGTAACTTTTAATCAATGAATGCAATTTGTTGTGATATTCAAAATGTGTTTTTAAAAATCTTGCTTTCCCTATCTCCTACCTTCCTTATTTTTATAAAGTTACCAGGCAGTGACATTGCCAGTGGAAGTGATGTACTTTCTGATGTCATACCCAGTATTCCAAGTTCACCTTGCCTGCTTCCTAAAAAGAAAAACAAGCACCGAAATTTAGATGAACTTCCTTGGAGTGCAATGACAAATGATGAACAGGTAAAAATGTTGACATGCTTAACTGAAAGCATATGTGGAGAATATGTGAAGCCCATTTTATTTCCTATTTAAAGCCACTTGGTAAATATGGATTGCTTAGTAAGTCTGAATTTGAGCTTTAATTGTTTTTCGGGAACCAAATATAATGTTAAGTGTTTCTGATACATAAGATACGTTATAATTGGTATATTGAAGGACCAAAGGTTTTAGCATTGATATTGTGTGTTGTAATTTTTCATCATATAGGTGGAATATATTGAATATCTGAGCCGAAAAGTCAGTACTGAGATGGGCCTTCGGGAGCAACTTGATATTATTAAAATCATTGATCCTTCTGCTCAAATCTCCCCTACAGACAGTGAGTTTATCATTGAACTTAACTGTCTCACAGATGAAAAACTGAAGCAGGTATGTTAATACAGTTTGTTTTCCTATTGAAAATGCCACCATCTTATAAAATGTAGAAATGAATAATCATGCATATATACATTGAGAAATCACTGTTGTGATTTGTAATATTTTTAAAAAAATGATGATGGGGGTGCTAGGGTTGTAGCTCAGTAGTAGAGCACTTGCCTAGCACGTGTGAGGCACTGGGTTCCATGGTCAGCGCCACATAAAAATAAATAAATAAACAAAGGTATTTAAAAAAATGATGGGACTGGGGATATAGCTCAGAGGTAGAGCATTTGCTTGCCTAGCATATGCAAGGATCTAGGTTCATTTCCTAGCACCACAAAGAAAAGAAGAAGAAAATGGAAAAAAAATAATGGTAATATTGGAGAACATGTGCTTTTAAAAGGTTTTATGTACTTCTTACCTGGTAGTACCTTTTCTGGTCAACATGGATCTAGAACCTGCTGTTCAGTTATAAAGGCTTTGAAACTTAGCTTTATTATATAAGGTGTGGTTAAGCTAAGGTATAGATTTATTCTAACTCAATTTACAAAAGATGAATTGACAGAATAAACGTACTAATTAACAAGCTCAATACTTTAGTAAATATATTAGCTGAGGGCTTTGAGTAGTCTTATGGAGTAATTGACTGGGGTGAAATCTAATGACTATTCCCTCTGCTGTTCTGAAACTTATATTTCTGGTATCTTCTAATTATAGTCTTTGCTGCTCCCTTTTTCTCTAGTAGATGGCTAAATGAATACTTAATATTTTTATGTTCTCCTTTTGGTTTATTTTGCATTTATCATCTGTGAAAAATTTCTCACATTTTGATTTTTCTCTCAATAGACATAGAATATAATTTTCTACATTCCAGCCCTTTTTATTTATTATGCTAAATTGCTGCCTTGCATTTGAAGACAGGTACCATTGACCCCTCACTAAAGTATAGGAACAAATACCCTGATCATAAATACAATTGTTAATTTACTTAAGTCATCTTAAGTGGAGATTTTACAAATGATTAATCACATCTTTGTTTTGATTTCTATTAGCCTTTCATTCACTGATTATACTTTTATGCTTTGAAAGTCTGTATCCAGGGGCTGGGATTGTGGCTCAGTGGTAGAGCGCTTGCCTAGCATGTGTGAGGCCCCAGGTTCGATTCTCAGCACTGCATATAAATAAACAAATAAAATAAAAATCCATCAACAATTGATAAAAAAAAAAAAATTTAAAAAAAGAAAGTCTGTATCCATAATATGTTTTCTAGCATTTCAAATAGTCAATTTTTTTGGTAATTGTTTTAAATTTAAAGATTTCTGTTGCCCTTCCATTCTACTTTATTTATACATTTGTAGCACTTTTGACAGTTTTTTTTTTTTTTTATTAAGGACAATGTGATTTTTTTCCCCCTCCAGTATCTTGACAGTCAAATATCAAGGTATAACACTAAGCTGTTTTTCATCCTCGTGTCCCAAGGTCAGAAACTATATCAAGGAGCATAGTCCTCGCCAGCGGCCTGCCAGAGAGGCCTGGAAGAGAAGCAACTTTAGTTGTGCAAGCACTAGTGGAGTGAGCGGTGCCAGTGCCAGTGCCAGCAGCAGCAGTGCCAGCATGGTCAGTTCTGCAAGCAGCAGTGGGTCCAGTGTTGGAAACTCTGCTTCAAACTCCAGTGCCAACATGAGTCGAGCACACAGTGACAGCAACCTGTCTGCAAGTGCAGCAGAGCGGATTCGGGATTCAAAAGTAAAATGTCTAATCAATACAAAACTTTACCTTTCAATATTAATATTAGTCCTTCTTCATTTAAATTTCTTGAACAGTGAAAATTGTCTATCTAGATGCCTGTGGGTTTGGGTTTTAATTGAACAAGCAGGATGCTCTGCTGTCAAAGAGAGCACTCTAGGCTGAGTGCTTTGAAGTACTCTTTTTTGACCCACAATCATTCACATTCAATTTTATTTGATTTTTGTGTCTGTCTTAAGTAAGATATTAATGGAAATAATGAGTAATTCTCAAGATTGCAATATTGACTGCAACTCATTACTGAGCGAATCTCACTATGTTGCTGATGTTGCTGTCTATTAGCTCCTAAAAATGTTGTATATACGTCTTTTGTGTGTGTTAAATGTTTTCTTGATGTTTTAACCTTGAATGTTCCTTCTTAGATAATTTAGACAATAATGCTTTCTGTAATTTCTGTCTATAGAAATCCTTTATAATAATATTGGGTACTTTTAAAAACAGAAAGTGTAAGTGTATATGGAATGGTTCTGAGGCTTAACAGGAACATTTGGTTCCTTGCAGTGATACAGTCTGGAACCAATTTAAAGATGAAAAGAGAATCTCTTTGAGAACTCAGTGGTGACTTAAAGATACACAATGATTTCTTTCCTGGTTCTTAACGAAGTAGCAGAAACATAGCCAGCTTTGTTGGTTGCCAGAGGATTTCTCTTGATATGTGGCCATTCCTTTTTGGCATTAGTTCCCTGGTATTGAAGATTGGATTATTCACTGGGGTTCTAATGGGCTTTTAAGATGATATTTGGCTAATATAAAAAGGCATGATTCTTTCCCAGCCATTATAAAAATTGCTAGTGCTTTTGGGTTCAAGCCTCCTTAAAAGCATAAGTGGTAGAGATTTATGAAAAGTTCTCTACATTCTATATTCATTTTGTCCCCTAGTATTAATTTTTTTTCACTATGCATTGATACCAATGTGCCTTAATAAGTGTCTGGTTATCCATAGCTAGCCCAAATGATCAAGTATCAGCCCTTCCTAGTCAGAAGAGTTGCTGATCAAATGCCATGAAAGGAGAATCTTGAACATCTCTTAAAATTGGGAAAGGAGAATATTGAGCTATAAAAAACACTTTGGGGTGGATATTCCAAGAAGTAAACCTTACTGATCTAGAGCTTTTTACTTTGACAGAAACGATCTAAGCAGCGGAAGTTACAGCAGAAGGCCTTTCGCAAGAGGCAGCTGAAGGAGCAGAGGCAGGCCCGGAAGGAGAGGCTTAGTGGGCTCTTCCTTAATGAAGAAGTGCTATCCTTGAAAGTGACTGAGGAAGACCATGAAGCAGATGTTGATGTTTTGATGTAATAAGGATGAATTTATCAGCGTTCTTTCTAAGCATTATTCTATCCTTATTGGTTTACATGCATCTTGACCAAAATTTTGGTTAGGGCTGTGCTGATATACCATTAGTAACTTAGGCCAGTGATTCTCAGAGGGTGGTCCCAGGAACTACAACTTTAGCATCACCTGAGAAATTATTAGGATTGCTTACTATCAGCCCCACTCCAGACCCAGTGAGTCAGAAACGCTGGGGGAGTAGCCCAGCATTGTTTTTTTCAACCAGTGCCAGGCTGTTCTGATGTGCATTCTGGTTTAAGAACCACTGGTTTAAGTAAATATTTTGACTATTTAAACTTTATGGTAGTTAAGTGGGTTTTTTTCAAAGACTAGTACTTTTTAGGAGATTTTACTTCATGGTACTGCTGACAAGTAGTTTGTTATGTACATGTGTATAGATCATAATTCAGTCCCCCTCCCCTTTTTTGTGGTGCTTGGGATCAAACCCAGGGCCTCACGCATGCCAGGCAAGTGCTCTACCACTGAGCCATATCCCTAGCCCCTTAGTTCCCTTCTTAATGTTAAGATTTCTTAGTTTACTTTTTCTAAAGGGCCATAGCATAATTCTCAATTCCTTGTGGGAATCTTTCTTGAAGTGGGGGTGGGGTAGAGTAGGGGTGTGTGTAAAGTGTGGATTGCTGTTTACTATAGTGCCTTCATTAGATTTAGTTCTATTTGTTTTCATTCATTGTTAACTCAAAGGTGTAAAAGAACAGGCCCTACTCTTTTTTTCCAGTTAGGTTTTTTGTTTTCATTTTTCCCTTTAGGTAAAATTGAATCCTTTCTGCAAATGATAACTACTGAGGATATAATGTTAGTAGTAGCTGAATTGTAGACTTGATGCTGTTGATTCATATGCAAGTAGAGAAAGCAATTAAGCAGAACAATTGATTCTATTTTCCCATTGCTTTCTGAAATTTTAGGCTGCAAAATTGTCTCAAAGATAGAAAATCTCTCTCCTCTTGCTCCCCTTCCCCTTATCATTCTCTGTTTCTCAAGTTCTTTTTGTGGGTCATTTTTCATCCAGCACAGCTCTAATTTTTAAATATTTGGTGTAACAGCTTCAGGCATGTGAACAAGTTAATGTTCAAAAGTAACTGACGACAGACAGCCTTTAGAGTTCTGCTAAATTTCTCTATAAATTGCTGTAAGTACACAGATCAGTGAGTTACAGAAAACACCTTAATTTGTTGGTTATTAATAGAACTCTAAATTTAAATGTGAAATCATGTAGATTCTTTAAATGTTTTCACAGAGAATTTATTACAGATTTAGAAATAGAGTGATTCCTTTTCTTCTACTACATGTCTTTGAACATGCACATGAGTTAAAGAAGATGGAAAGTGATACTACTGACAATCAAGCTGCTTTTCGACTTTCATAATTTTCTTTTTATAGTGAATAACATTTAGGAGGTAATCTTGATTCTGTAGGAAGAGTCATAATCAATATTTTTTTAAACTCTAGAGTCCAGAGGTTAATAGAATTTCAACTTAAATTCTTAATTCTCAGTTGTTATAAGTCTTAAACTTCACTGTAATCATTTGTTTTGAAATTTTGATTTCATTTTGATTCCTTGTAGGTTAAAGAATTGAAACTGAGGATAAAATTAATACATTGCAGTTTTGCGAGGTCTGTGATTTAGTGGTAACCTTTTGAAGACTACTTCTAAAGTCAGAATGTAAAAGTTTACTAAAATAAAATCATATGTGTATCTTTCTGACTTTCCTCTTACTTCCTCTTTGGTGCCCCTACCCAGCTTAGAGGACTCAAAGAGAGCTGGGAAAAGACCCCAAACTACTTGGAAGAAGATGGAAAAGATAAACCTCATTGTTTTCCCTTCCAAGTATAGGAAGAATAAAGGGAGAGAAGAGCAAATACATCTGAATTCTCTACCTGCTTTTAGGAAAAACAAAATCCAACAGACTTATTGCCTGCTGTTTATCTATGATTCAAGGAAATAGGCCACATTGGGAGACCAATGTGAGCAGAATTTATCTGTCACATACTTGGAAACTATTTACTTTATATGGTGACCTGTAAAAGAAAATCCTGGTGGTCACTAAGAGAAATTCCTAAACAGGGTCATGATATGATTTTAAGACCAATTCCTGTATTCTCCCAACAATCACATAGTTTTATTACCTTAGATTTAACTTAAGTCACTATTAAACAAATTTACCAAAGTGCCACAAAGCGAATTTTTAAAGTTTGTAAACGTTTGATTGTTTGTAGAAGTGTGTCATAAAATTTTGTGTAAATCTGGATGCACTATCTTTACTATAAGTTAGAGCCAACCCATAAAGAGGATTTGGAAAAAAAATGAAATATTTCTTTCATTAAAAATAAATAAATAAATAAATAACTTGAACTTGCTTATAATCTAAGAGGAAGACTACCAAGTCTTTCTCTATCCCTTCAAAAAAGAAGCCAGCCCAAAAAGAAATGATTTTTATCTTTTTAATGCTTCATGTGGATAATTAAAGTTTGAATGATCTCTTTCTTGGAATAAGTAATTATTTATTCAATCTGTTATCTCTCTGAGTTCAAATAAAAGTGATACAACTCAGTATTTATCCTTCTTAAATATAAACCCTTATTAACCAATTAGTATTAAGGCAAGGCTTATTTGCCCCAGTGTTGGTTCTCATTTGTACAGAACTGACATTGCTGCAAATAATTCTCCTCTTTAAAAAATGAAACTTGTTAACAGAGTGCATGATAAAGTTCCCACAGACTTTCCAGAGACCTTTGATTAGAGATCTTGTAATGAATGGTATTTCAGTCCTTACTGCTACTTTTAAAAGCATGAACCTTGAGTTAAATAAAATGGCGTGTATTTTTCTACAGTTTTGCAACCTATTAAAGGAAGACAGTGTGCTATAATGTGTTAGTGGGGTATAAAGGGCTAATTCATTCTTTCTCAACAAAAACTTAAAAGTAATACTTGTCTCATTTTATTGGATGTGGCAGCTTAGTTTAATTTCTTTGTCCCTTGGGTAAATTAGATATTGCTGAATTAATCTCAGAAACTGACTTAATAAAATAATGACTCTTCATAGATTGAGTAGATGTCTCATTTTATTTAGCTTTTGAAATGCTAAATCTCAAGAAAACTAAAATTATAAGAAATTATTATATAAAGTTATCCAGATTCTGATGAGCTTTAAAAATTGTAAAATTTGTCAAATATCTTCATATTTAAGCCAAAAATGTTAGTATATAAACAATATAGAAGTCTTGTTTGTTTTGGGTTTTCTGGTAGACTTTTTGTTCATGGCTTAGTCTTTTAGCCTCATGTGCCTTAAAAGGTGGTGAACTCTGTACTTTTTGTCAATATCAGGCTTCTCCAAACTCAAAAAATAATCATGTGATAATTCATTTTGTATAATGCCCATGGTGTTTGGATATCAGTAAGTAAAACCTTTGAATTGAACCAATCTGTAGTGATAGAGTGTAAAACAAAAACAAAATCCTTCAGATCTTAAACCTCATTTGTGTAACTTTATTTTCTACCCAGCTAGATCACTGAAGAATCTTGAAAGTTATCTGGAGTATGACTTAATGTATTCTTTTTTTTCCCCCTGAGAAAAGTCATAGGCCAGTATACTTTTAAAACCAGATACAGTTATTTGGAAAGAAAATTTTCAAGGTATAGGTAAAAGTATTCCAAGAGCCAAGAGTATATAGCAAGCTGATTCTCTTGTTAACTTTAAGGATTCTTTGAATTCATTTGTGTCATAATTGGAATACTACCTTCCCTTTCTGTGTTAGTCAGCTTTTCATCACTGTGACTAAAAGGCCCGACAAGAACAACTTGGAGGAGAAAAAGGTTTAATTTGGGCCCACAATTTCAGAGGCTCAGTCCACCGACAGCTGGCTATATCACTCTGAGCCGGATGGAGGTGAGGCAGAACATCCTAGCAGGGCAGGGTGAAGAAAAACTACTCAACTCACAGAGAATAAGTGCCAGGGACAAAATATGATTCCTTAAGGGCATGCCCTTCAGTGACCTACTTCCTCCAGTCATGCCAGTTACCACCCAATAATCCATTCAAATTATCAAACTATCAAATGGATTAATCCACTGATTAGGTTATAGCTATCAGTCTAATCATTTCACCTCTTAACATTTCTGTCTATCACATGAGCTTATTGAATGATAACTCATATCCAAAAACATAATACTTTCCTTTAATCTTTTAGCACTTCTATCTTATTTGGCATTGAGGGGGAATACTTCTGTCCATTTTTATTTGGGGACAGTTGATAGTAAAATTCCTAGTTACATTAAATAATTTTGTTGACAATGAGTTCAGTGATATTCAGCATGTCTAAATTACAAGTATATTTAATCATGAAAAGGACTATTAGTAAATAAATTTGTATACATATGTACTGTGGTAACTTCAGATTAGTTTTCAGTCTGATAAAGTAAATTTTTCTTAAAACTGAAATTAGGTTAAGTGGCTAAGAACCATCTGGGAGACACTTTTAGCTAAACACCTCTGAGCATAGTATCTGAAACATACTCCTTAGAAATTAAGTCTTAATGTTACCAGCCATGGTCTGGGATCATGTTGTGTTTCTCAGATCTGGAGTTCTTGCAGGAGAAAATTCCAGGCAAGGCATGAAAAGCAGTAAAGTCTAGCAGTTTTATTAGAAGGAAAAAAGCACTCTCAAGAGGGAGGAAGATGCGGGGGGGTCTCAACTTTTTGACTGATAATAGTTTTGCATCAGATTTTTAGTCCCTACTGCATAGTATCTTAGCCTCAGGTACCCAAGCAGAGCCCGTGGGGGGAATTTTACCACGTAATGCTAAAGATCTGAAGGCAACTCTGGTCACTTCGGTCCACCTAACCAGTTCTAATTGGAACTTGATTTTTTTAAAATTTAAACAGATTTCATGGTGGGCGGGCTTTGCTTTTAATTATCCCTTCTTCCTCAGTAGAACTTTTGGTGTATATAAGGGTTATGAAAGTCTTCACTTCAGGGTACTTTGTGTTCTTTTAGGCAGAGAGGGATCTTAAGTTCCTTATGCCTGAGAATAACTCTACAGATAACAGGTTGCAACTCATCCTATTGCCTTAAGCCAGGGCAGGGCCTGAGTGGCCTTAGGTAAATTGCTTTTTAAAAGAAAGCATGTGGGTAGGCCAACACAGTAGGCCCATCTATAGAATTATCCCCTTAATGTTCCTACTGTTCATGTCTATCTGCTACCTGTCATTATTTCTTTGGAAAATAATTTACTTATTCCAAAAGGCTTAGAAAGAACTCTGAAAATTCTTCTAATTGGGTATTAAGAATAAGGAAGTTGCATGGTATAGCTAAAGATCTGAGTTGACTCACTAAAATTGTATTCTCATTTTAAAAATATTAAAATTGTTTTCAGCTCCCTTTCCAATTATTTTTTTTTAAATAATGTTATTAGTGTCTTAACCGAGATCAAATAATGGTGAATTACATTTTAATTTGAAATTCATGAGGAACTCAGAAAAACCAGTTTGGTCTGATTTGGTTTTTGCTGAATTTGTAGAACTTTTTCTTTATTGTCAAGTTTATTGTTGCGTTTTTGTGGTTAATGGAACCTGTGGAAATCTGTGTTCGTTTTTGTGGTGAGGGATGGAGGTAAAAAAAAAAAAGGTGAATTGCTTAATTATGCATATACATTTTGACTATGTAAAGGTAGTTGTACAAGTAATATGTATAAATGACAAGTTAATACTTACTATTCTGGATTGTTCTAAGGAACATTGGCCTGAAGCCATGACTTGTTTTGTGGAGCTACTTGCTCTTAACAGTAGGTGACTTATTGTAAAATGAAACTTTGGAGTTAGCTTATCTAGCTGAGGCGTTTAAGAATGGAGCAGATAATCTCTGTTCCTGAAGTAGATTCATTTAATTTCCTATTTGATATTTCCTAATTTAGATATAAATATTAGACATTCTAAATCTTTGTGTTGGGAATCTAATAGAACTCTTTGTCAAAGATATTAATGATCAACCCCATCTAAGACATTTCACAGATGGTTAAGTATTTCAAATTATTTGAGGGTTTTTTTTTGTCTTTGTTTTTAGTTTCAAAGATTAGTTATGTAGCATCAATATCATAACCAAAGCGAGTAGGAAGTTGACTGGTTTGGAGAATCTTCAAGTAGTCTTAAATACTGTAATGTATCCGGTTGTTAACCAGGATTTATTTTTCCTGTATTCCTGCTAAATGTATTAATGCACTTTTGTATATATAACTGTCTTCTGTACATTCTGTACTTACTACAGTGTATATAAAGCCTGTTTTTCCTGAAGCTGTGTGAGGAAATAACAATAGTTATAACACAAGTCATTTCTATTTTGAGTTCCTTCTTGTACTTGAAAGTAATTCAGTAGTTAAGTCTAAATGAGTGTGTGTGATTGTAATTAAAACTGGCTATGTGGCAGAGCTGTCTTTTGAACTGAATATCAGAATGAAAAAATGTTTCCAGTTATTAAGAACACTTGTAATACTATCATTTTTATTGTTTCTTTTGATGTGCAAGTTTTTACAAACCCTGCTGCTGGTTACCACTTTATACTTCTGAATCAGTTTCTTTCATGTTCATCCTAGGACACTGACCAGCAGAGAAGAATCGCTCTCTTTCCTTTAGCTCTCTGCTTGGGTAGAGCCCAATTCCCCAAAAGTCATTGGCAAAATATTTTTTTTCTGAAGAGATTAGATTTCAAGAGAGAGATTAATGTTGATAATAAGTGAAAATTAGGCCTTATTTTGTTGACAAAAATGATCTGGTTTCCTTATAGTCACTCTAAATCTTTTTAAGTTATGGTTTTATAAAAGAAATCCCTGTGTGCCCTTTGATGTATAGAAGAAACAGGAGCAGTTCAGCTTTTCAGCAGCAAGTTTATCTCTTGCCACTAGAGGGAGGCCTATGATTGCTCTCTCCTTTGGAAAATGTCCTAGCTGCTTTTCCTTTGTTTTTAATTTCAGAGGTTGGCATAGACCTTATTCTCAAAATTCCTTTGTGGTATTAAGTACTTTCATTTATTGGTCAAAGGTAACTTAATTAAGCTTGTTTAGTGAAGCCAGTCTTATTCATGCTTTTCTGTAATCTTCAATTTTTAATAAATGTGAGTTAGGTATTAAGTGAAACTTGAGTATGTGTATTTCTTCTTTTGTGTACTTGAGAGCTGTACTGTCCCTATGGTAGCCATTAGCCACATGTGGCTGTTTATTTATTATTTTTTAAAAAATACATTTTTAGTTGTAGGTTGACACAATACCTTTATTTTATTTATTTCTTTTTATGTGGTTCTGAGGATTGAACCCGGTGTGCCTCGCACATACTAGGCAAGCACTCTACTACTAATCCACAACCCTAGCCCCATATGTGGCTATTTAAATGAAATAAAACTAAATAAATTTTGAAAATTAATTCCTTAGTCCCATAGCAGTGCTTCAAGTGCCCAATGTGAAATATTTCTATTTCTCTATTGGAAAGCACAGGCTCTAGAACATTCCCATTACCACAGAGAGTTCTTGACAATGCTGCAATAGAGATTTGATGGCTTATATAGCAAGCCATTAATCATTATTTTACTAGTGAATGATAACGAGTGGCTAAAAACTACTGTTTACAACTAACTGTTGTGATTGGCATGAGAGGAAAAGCGAGATCTATTTCATCTTCTGCTTCATTAAAGCCACTACCAAAATTAGGAGCTTGGTGGTTTCAAGGAGGAATTACTCAAACATTGACCATTTCATTTGACTATTAAAAAGATATATTCGAATACTATGGGAAATTTGGTGCATTTTCCCAGGTTTGTATGTTTTAGTGCTGGGGATTGAACCCAGGGCCTACCACGTGTGTGCCCTGCCATTGAACTATACCCCCAACCACACAATTTCTCAGTTTTTATCTTTCCAGGTTTCTTTATGAGTCTGCCCTTTGATGCAAAAACAGTTGTAAATGACAATACTAGTACTCAGAACTGAATACATACATTTTAAAAGACTGCAGTTTTTTAAAAAAATATGCTTATAAAAAAATAGAGGGCTGGGGTTGTGGCTCAGTGGTAGAGCACTCACCCAGCACATGTGAGGCACTGGTTCCTCAGCACCACATAAAAAAAATAAAGGTATTATGTTCAACTACAACTAAAAAGTAAATATAAAAAAAAATAGAAGTGTGAATTTCCGAATCATCCTCCCAAAGTGTTTCTTCATTAATCCTTAGGATACAAGAGCCTTAATAGATTCACTGTTTTTTGGGTCTGACAATTCTTCACCCTTGCCATTAGCTTGGATCTCATGGTAAGCGGGATGCTTGTATTATAATATCTATGTTTCTTTACTAATAGGTTGATACTACATTTAGGTACAATATCACTTCCATTTGTAATGAGTACATAATGTTTTAACACTCCTTTGGTTATCAGAATCCTTCAGACAGATTATTGGATTTATGTATTTTCAATTTCATTATAAAAAATTTCAAGTAGAGAAGAATAAAATGAATCCCCATGTAGACATCTATACTTTGACTCTCACCACTAGTCTTTTGTTTCTTTTACCTTAGCTATCCACCCACTCACCTTATCTTAAAATTCCAGTGATACTGAAGCTAATCTCAGGTGACAGAATCTCATTTTTAAGTATTTTAGTATGTGATTTTTAAAGACAAAGATATTACTGTCTTATATGTAACTATAATACCACCATCATACCTCTAAAAATAATACCTTTAAAATAGTTCCTTAATATCAAATATTTGTTTTTGTTTGCAGTCAAAATCATGATCATTTGTATAATTCATTTCAAAATCATTCATTTTGTTAGCACTAGTGTAGAAGAGTTTTTACTATTGCTTGATAAGCCCTGATGGTGTCTTAAACACTTTTCAGTGAAAGTGAGATGTCCTGTTGCTTTTAGATAAAAACAGATTCTAGTTGTTCCTCAGTACTTAGTTATTAAAGCCATGGGATAATTTGGGTAGGAGGCAGGAGGAAGGGAAATAACTGTTCAAGATAAGTTGGAGCATGTATTTACTATCCCACCTACCTCTTAGCCCAATAACTTTCTTTTTAGCCAAAATTGACCCATGTGGTAGATTTGTAAATAGGTATAGAATTTTGTGAGGATACTGTGGAGGAAACAAGGAAAATTTAAGATTTGTATCCCTTAGAAATTAAGAAATCTGGGGCTGTGGCTGTGGCTCAGAGGTAGCACGCTCACTTAGCATGCATGGGGCACTGGGTTCGATCCTCAGCATCACATAAATATAAAATAAAGATATTGTATCTACCTATAACTAAAAAATAAAAAAAGAAGAAATTAAGAAATCTACTTTTGGGCTGGGAAGGTAGCTCAGTGGTAAAGCAATGCCTAGCATGCGTGAGGCCCTGGTTCAATCCCCATCACCACATAAAAAATAAACAACAATAAAATGATTTTTAAAAAGAAGAAAGAAATCTACTTTTAACAGATGTAACTGAGACTTTTTTGTAGCTTTAAATGGACAGCATGTCTATTTTTATGTATATTGTGTTATAACTTACTGAAGTTTACGCTTTCCAGTTAAACTATAGAATATGGGTGCTTCAAGGGACCTACAACCCTACCTTGATTTTTTTTAAATGGTCTCATTAAGTTGCCCAGGCTGGCCTTGAATTTGGGATCCTCTTGTCTCATCCTCCCTAGTAGCTGGGATTATAGGTGTGCCCCTTGTGCCCAGCTTCCATATCTTTTATCAAGGTCTCAAGTGGGTTTCCTGGGGCTGAGGCTGGGGCTGGGGCTCAGTGGTAGAGCGGTCACCTAGCATGTGCAAGGTTCTGGGTTCAATCGTCAGTACCACATAAAAATAAGTAAATAAAATAAAGGCATTGTGTCCAACTACACCTAAAAAATACATATTTTTTAAAAAATGGGTTTCCTTCCTCCTAATAGCTACAACTGTCTATATAGGGCAATTTGGTTTTTAGAAATAACTGTCATTTGGAGGCTTTCTGGTAGTTAATGTGGGTGAGAAAGCTGGAAATTGATGGCTTTGGCCAATGAGGTGTGATTTTTTTTTTAAATGAGACTTTGTTTTATATTTTTAGTTGTAGATGGACACAATACCTTTAATTAATTAATTAATTAATTAATTTATGGCAATGACAACATGATTGAACAAGGTGTATCATGATGACATGGAATGAAGATAATATTAATTTGGACCTGTTCTGGCTTATTGTTTAAAAATAGTATTTTATTGCTTCATAATAACATATACTCTAGAGAAATATTTTCCACTAATGTTTTTTAAATATTGGATTAGACTCACACAATTCTTTATCAAATCTGAGATAACAGAACTAGTTGGTGCCAGGTGTAGGGGCACACAACTATAATCCTAGTGGCTTGGGAGGCTGAGGCAGGAGGATTGTGAGTTCAAAGCCTATCCCAATAATTTAGCAAGGCCCTAAGCAAGTAAGCAACACCCTGTCTCCCAATAAAATATAAACAAGGGTTGGGGATGTGGCTCAGTGGTTAAGTGCCCCTGGGTTCAATCCCTGGTACCAAAAAAAAAAAAAAAAAAAAAAAAAAAAGAACTATTTGGTGATTGGAAAGCTTGAAAGAAGTTTTATTAAACCAGTGTCTTTACTGTGTAGATGAGAAACTTTGAGGCCAAGGAAGGTTAAGCATTTCATCTAGGTCATATGGTTTGATGATGACAAATTAAGGACCAGAATCCAAGTCTGTGAAACTATAGACCAATTATCTTTCCACTGGATCACACTGCTATTCTGCTACATTTCATAGTGGTTTGCACACTTGTACAATTCACACTAAGATATTGGGACTTAAGATTTGGGTGTAAAACAATGGTTCTCAAGGTATGGTCCCATCATGTAGAGCAGTAAAATCAGCATCACCTGAGAACTTTTAAGAAGACCAATTTCTCAGGCGCCATTCCAGATCTACTATGTAATAAATCCTGAGGTGGGGGACTAGAAATCTGTGTGGGTTTTTGTTTTGCTTTGTTGTTGTTCTTGTTTTTGTGATTTGAACCCAGGGTTTCATGCATGCTAAATAGGCACTCTCCCACTGAGTTTCATCTCCAGCCTAGCAATCTGTTTAGCAAGCTTGCCAGGGAATTCAGATGCATATTTATGTTTAAAAACCGCTGATACAGTATTTCTCCACTCCAGCTAATCATCAGAATCATCAGGAGACTTTTGGAAAATACAGATTTCTAACTCTTCCCACCCCTCATCCAGATAAATTAGAATCTTAGAGGCAAAGTCTTTGCATTTATTAGTTCATAGCAAACATTTTATTTTGGAATAATTTTAGGCTTATAAAAAAGTTGTAAAGATAGTACAGAGAGTAACTCCCATTTAGTTTCCCCTAATATTAATATCTTGCATAACTATAGTACATTTTGAAATTCACTTTAATATGAACATCAGTGCATTACTATTAACTGAACTACAGATTGATTTCCTTTTGATTTCACTAGTTTTCCCACTAATAGCCCTTTTAGATCCTGGAATCTAATCCAGGATACCTCATTGCATTTAATCATCATGTCTCTTTAGACTCCTCTGGTCTGTGATAGGGCCATAGTTTTCCTTGTTTTTAAAATATGAAAATTAGGTTTTTATGGAATGTTATTCCTCAGTTTGGGTTTGCCTGATGTGTTTCTCATGGTTAGACTGGAATTTGGAGTTTTGAGGAGTACCATAAGGGTGTGGTGACATTCTCATTGCATTGTCTCAAAGAGTTTATCCTATGAACATGGCTTAACACTAATCATGCTAACTGATAACCTGGGTAAGGTGCTATTTGCCAGTCTTCTTCATTGTAAAGTTACTGATTTTCCTTTTTTTTTTTTTTGTACTTGGTATTGAACCAGGGGTGCTTAACCACTGAGCCACATCCCCATCCCTTTTTTGTATTTTATATTTAGAGAAGGGTCTTGCTGAGTTGCTTAAGGACTCGCTAAGTTGCTGAAGCTGGCTTTGAACTCGGGTTCCTCCTGCCTCAGCCTTCTGAACCACTGTGACTACAGGTGTGCTCCACTGCACCCAGCTTGATTTTCCCTTTCTGTACTGTTTTTCAGAAGCAAGTTACTCCATCCAGCCCACAACCAAAGGGGAAATGAG